ATAGAAGCACTATTTACAATAGCTAATATCTGGAAACAGCCCAAATGTCCATCAGTAGACAAATGGATAAAAAAGCTGTGGTACATATACACAATGAAGTACTATGCAGCTGTAAGGAAGAAAGATCTCTTATCCTTTGAGACAACATGGAGGGACCTGGAGAGTATTATCCTAAGTGAAACAAGTCAAGCAGAGAGAGACAAATATCACATGATCTCACTTATTTGTGGAATATAATGAACATAACAGTCTGAGGGACAGGGAAGTCCCAGAGACGTGGAAGTGGAGTACAGACTGACAATCCCCAGAAGAGTGGGTGGGGGTGAGAGACAAACCACAGAACTTCTATGCATGTATGCATGAACAATGGACATGGACAACAAAGCTGGGGACAGGGCTAGGAGGGTGGAGGAGAGGGGTATCAGTGGGGGAAAAAGGAGAAACATCTGTAATAAAAATAAATTAATTAATTAAAAAAATATATAAATTAAAAAAAATACTAAACATAATCCTATTTAACAGTACAAATAATGTAAAAAACCTTATTCACTCATTTCACTGGTAGCAACTTTGCATATTCCCGTCTAAAGAGCTATAGGAATATCATATTAAGTTGTCAAAGACTAAATGCTTTTCCCCTAAGGTCAAGAACAAGGTAAGGATATCTATTGTCACTATTCCATTCCACATTTTACTGTAGGTCTAAGTGAATTCAATAAGAGAAGAAAAAATATACAAAGCATAAAGATATACAAAAAAGAAACCAAAATTAAAATAATTAATGTATGAAATTTTTCAAGTTCACAGAATACTAGGTTAAGACATACTATGGTTATAGATGTAAAGACTAAACAGTGTTAAGACTTTAATTCTTCCAAAATTGATCTATAGATTCAATATAATTTTGATACTTTTCATTGCAGTGATAAAGTAGATACCACTAGATACTTATTTCTAAAACCAGCTAGTGAATACAGGTATAAAACCTTGGGCTTACCTCTTAAGTACACATATTGCCTACTTTGTGAGAGGTGCTATGCCTGTGTGAGATATAAATACATCATAGAAGTCAGCAAGGACACCCTGGCTTCTTAAACACTCGATGAGATTGCCTTAAATCTTTAATCCACATTTCCTAAAAAATCCTACTCAAGATTTTAGCAAATTATCTGTAGGCTTATAATTTTGTGGTCATACCTCCTTCTGAGTTTCTGCTTCTTCTGATTTAGTTTACTTTCAATATTTTATCATCGATCCATGTGTACAGTTCTTATTCTAATTGTTTTCACCCAGTCATGTAACAGAAGTGGCCTTAATATTCACAAAAACAAACATTTTACACACATTGTATATATATTTAAAAACTTTACTCAAGTTTTAGAGAGCCACAAAAATTTATGTTGCAGCCTATTGTAGTATTGCAAATATCTAAAGTTGTATATTAATCACCATCCTTAAAAATACAGTATCTCTTGGCCTGGTCTGGATTCCAGCTTCCGTTTTCTGTCCTGTTAGTATAGACTGCATTCTACTTCCCCTCGCTCTCTCTCTCTTATGTATTCTTTACTACTTTTCTGTTTTATTTATTTTTATTGATTTACATTCAAGAGAATGGGAGGGAGGGAGAGGGGAGAAGGGGGAAGAGAGAGAAACAACAATTTGTTGTTCCACTCATTCATGCATTCATTGTTTGTTTCTTGTACGTGCCCTGACTGGAGATCAAACCCACCAAGCTTGGTTTATAGGGACGATGCTCCAACCAACTGAGCTACCCACCAGGGAAATTATTTGCTATTTTTCTCTCTCTATTCGGGAGTGGGGGAACCAAACCACATTTCTCCTATTGATCTGCACAAAACATTTAAGGTCCCTCAGCTAAATTATCTAAACACATATTCAACTCAGGACACATTTAGTGGATTCAAGGACTGAACTAAAACTTAAATGTGGTCAATTTAGTTAGTAGACAGAGGTGATGTCTTCTTTGATCTCTTTGTGGTTGAGCCACCACTGGGCTACTATGTACTGGAAGAGGAATTATGAAAACATGGAGAAGAGTAGGATTAATTCTGCATTGAGACATTATGAAATGCAGCCAAGACAAGCCTATTACTGAGGAAGAGTCACAGGTAGGTAAGCCTGGCTTTCCATGGAAAAGGTAGGAGTTCTCTGAATTTTCAAAAACAAACAAACAAACAAACAAAAAGAAAAATACCAAAAAGCTGTGAGAACCACTGTACTGCTGACTAAGAGTCCACTCAGAAAAACTTAACTAATTTTACTGCCTTCAATAATCCAATGTTAGACAAGCGCCACCGTTTGCAGCAAGTACACAGTGTGATTCAACAGAACCAATAACACAGGAAAAACAGAAATAATCCAATGGCCACCATGTACTTACATTATACAGTCCTAGCTTCCATTTAGAACTATCATTTTCTCTGTCATCATCAGCAGTGGAAACAAGACTGTGTATAATTTAAACATGTTTTGAAGTGTGAAGAGTCTGGGCCCTTTGAGGAATCTACTGGAAAAAATAATGAAGGAAATTCTAGTTCTGAAAAATAATGTCAGTTGCCTATCGGATCTAGAGTTATGAAGTTAAAGGAATAAAAAGGAAAGAGGGTAAAATTAAGAGATGTGCAGGCATGAAAGAGAAGCAAGACACCCCAAGCACTCCCAATCTGCCCAAACTCACAAGACCTTCACTAAAGAAACTCTGCTTCACCATACTGATAGAAAAGGATGCTCCTGGACCAGAAACCTGTCCACAAAGACCAAAAAATAGAAAACAAAAGAACTAAAAAACTACCACAACAAAGTTACTATAGAAGAAAATAAAAAAAAAAATTAAAATATTTCAGCTGAGGAAATTCTTTCCTCCAAACTAAATACTAAGTAGAAGAATATTTATACTACAACTCTACAAACTTAAATAAGTATTCTCAAGTAAGCATTGAAGTGAGACAATTAGGAAATTTAACATACAGATAACATTTTATTGAATCTACAGTATACATACCCAATCTGGGATCAGATGCTGCATTTATAATTTTCATATCTCTTTTACCTCCTTCAATCTACAAGAGATTTTTAGCCTATTTTTTTTTTTGTCATGAGATTGGCATTTTTGAAAATTTAAGATTAGTAATTTAAAAGAATGTTTCTTAATTTGGGTTTGACTAACGTGTTCTCATGATTAGACTCAGGTTATGCAACTTCAAAGGAATAAGGCAGAAGTGATAAGGTATCCTTTTCAGGGTACCACATGCCCAAACACTTGATGTCCATATGCCCCTTACTGATGAAGTGAATTTGGATCATCAGATCAAGATGTTGTTTTCTTGCTCCACTATGTGGTTACCATTCATCCCCTTACTGCTCAGCAGTCTGTGGTGAGACACTTTAAGAACATGCGAACAGATCCAGCCGTTTCTACAGGTAGGTAGCTCCTGACATGTCTTGCCTGACTTAATCTTTGCTATCATGGTAATAAATAATTTTTTCTCCTCTAGCACCCCTTCCACATTTTTCAGTTGAAACACTCATTTTTTAAAAAATGTCCCCATTTCTCCTCTATTCATGTCTGTACGTGTTTACTTATTATCATAATAGACTCGTGATTTCCTACGTATTCAATAGATTTCAGTCAACTGTGGTCCTCACTAATTTTGATACACAAATTGCACCCAGATTTGGCCAGTGGGAACCCCGTCAAGCTGTCTGCAATGTTCTTTTCACATGTCCCCACTGTTTCTCTGGGCACCTTCTTGCTTGCAGGCACACCACGACGTTCTATTTGCATCTTGTTCCTCCCTTGCCCGTCTGGAATCAGACATTTCTCCAAGAAGCTCTTGTCCCTTTTAACAGGGATGGATATTTAAAAACCAACATCTGGGCATAAAGTTATTTATAGCTACTGGGGTATCAGTGCTTCTTTCTGTGAATACAGGGAGGGGAAATATTTATTTGTCTTATACTCAGATTTCAGTTTATTTTATCTCGGGTCCCTATCTGAGAGAGAGAGTGGGGGGAAGTCTAAGGATCTCTTAAAGAGTACTTTCTGAAAGCAGTGAGTACGAATAAAAAAGTCTAGGCTGCATTTTACTTCTGGACCCTGACCATAAACTTTTCCCATTTGTATCTCTAATGACGTTTTCTTCAATTGTTTACCTTCATTGGGCCTTGGATATGATAACTCTTAATGTATCTGTGCCCATTTGATTTGCAATGCCTTCTGCGTTTTAAAAGATCTGAAGAAGTCCCTACCCCAGTACAAAGTCCAGTTTGTGTTCACTAAGCTTTGGGAGTAAAAATTACAAGATAGGATTGTAGGGATAATCTTTGAGTAAGTGTTTTAAAATGCCCAGACCACCCCAGTGAAAAGTGAACAGTGTATATAGACGATGTTATCATGCTCACACATCAGTGTGATTAAAGGGTCGCGATGGACAAGCTTGAATAGTGCACTGTTCTGTGAGCCATGCCTTTGCCATCTCAAGGGAGCCAGGACTCATGGGATTTAAATCAGGCAGGATTTCATAGGATCTATAACACAGGGCTGTAAAAAATCTCTTTAGATAGTTATTTGATTTTTTAGCAAACACAGAAAAGGTGGGAAATATAACTTAGCTTGAATAAAACAAAGATTTGGTACTTTATTGGATACTCTTTACAATAGAATCTATTCTTTAATGGATAGTACTCAAAGAAATGAGATTATAATGGGAAATAAAAATAATATTCATCCCTGAATTTGGTGGCTGGTAGTTATGATAAAATTATTTCTAATATCTTTTTTTCTTATTAATTTGTTTTTGTTACAAATTTATCCCCCCTTGACACCCTCCTCCCCATCCCCCTGCCCCATCCCCAACTTTGTTGTCTATGTCCATTGGTCATGCATACATGCATGTAAGTTCTGTGGTTTATCTTTCCCCCTGCAACCTCCCTCCTCTGAGCCTTGTCAGTCTGTACTCCACCTCTATGTCTCTGGGTCAAAAAATATGGAACGCCTCACGAATTAGCATGCCATTCTTACGCAGGGGCCACGTTAATCTTCTCTGTATCATTCCAATTTTAGTGTATGTGCTGCTGAAGCTAGCGACTTCTACTACTTTTTGGAGATAATGTTAGATACATTTCTTGATTCTGTGGCTGGTGTTACTCTTTTTTTTTTTGGTACATGTTCCTAATGGGAACCGAACCTGGGACTCTGGTCCGCAGGCCGATGCTCCAACTGCTGAGCCAAACCTGCCAGGGCTGGTGTTACTCTTGATATTTTCTGTGCCCTTGACCTAGCATGTCTTACTGAACATGTTAAAACACATTAAGAAAAAGTGACTTATGGTACAAGATACCCTTCTTTTTTAATTTCAGAGAGTTTTCTATTGCCATGCAATTAAATTTCCTAATCATTTTGTTTCTATAATGACTTAATCTGTTCTTAATTGTATGCAGTGTATTTTTCATCTCAGACTTTTTTTAATCTCTAGAAGTTGATGTGAGACATTTCTATATTTTTCATGACCCTCCTTTTATGCTCTCCTTTTACCTTCTCAAACATAGATATGGTATACAACTTTTAATGCCATTGTCCACTAAGACTATCAACCCTGTTAATTCTGGGTTTGTTTCCATTTATTGTTTTTTCTCTTTATTAAAAATCATATTTTCCTGCTTCTTTGTATGTCTGTTTTCTGATAATTTTGTATTCTCTAAATACAATTAAGTTTTGTTCTAGGATGTAGTTATTTGGCAATACTTTGCTCCTTTTGAAGCTTTATAGTTTTGTTTGGTTGAATCAAAACAGGTGTTATTCTAGGTAGAGATTTTCTGCACTAGTGAGACAGTACCCTGCTGATTACCCTACCTGATTCAAGGGATTTGTATCTGGCTAGTAGGAACTCAAACTATTTCTGGCCCTGGGTGAGTTTTCTGGATTGTTCCACCTTCTTTCCACTGTTTTCTTCCAGTGTGGTAGCTTCCTTGCACGTGTTAATCTGTGTTCCAATAAAGATGAAAGGGAAAGCCTCTTAAAATCTCTCAAGTTTTTTTCTATTCACACTGTTCTCTTCTCCATTACTGTGCCCTGGGAATTTTAGTTTTCTTGGCCTCTGAATTCTCATCTCTGTCGTGGAAAGCTAAATTGAACTATGAACTGAATGTACTAATTAGATTACCATTCTAAAAGTTTTTTTCAGAAATCTGGAAAATAAATTGGAAAGGATAGAGAAATTGAATAAAAAATTTTGAGGGTCTTAACCAAGTCATGGTGAAGAGGAGCTCATAGATTCAAGAGCTATTTAGGAAGGAAAATAGATGAGACTTGGTTGTCAATTACTTATGGGTAGTGAGTGAAAAAAAACAGACAGATCCTAGCCTCCTGGGCAATTTGAATGGATGAGTGTTTGGGTTGTCATCAAAGTAGGAAATACAGAAATAGTAAGTACAAATTGAGCAGAAAACAACAATGGGATGGTGAATTTAGTTTTCTATATACTAAATTTCAAATACATGTGAAATATCAAAGGGGGAGTATATAACCATTATTTTTGTTCAGTTCAGTTTAATATTCGCTGAATGCCTATCATATGTCAGGAACTTTGTTAGAAACAGGAAAGGGAAGGGTAAATAAGGTGCAATACCTTCCACTGTTGTGGGATGTGAGGTGTGAGTTCTCTGGCACGTATGTAGGTTTGGTCTACAGGCAGGTTGCATTTGTCTAACAACCAAACCTGAAATTCCAAACAACAGCTATACATACAGAAGGAGGAAAGGATCAATGAAATAAAAGTTTATGTCCTTTTCTCCATAAATAAGGCCCCCAGTCCATTTACAGGGACTTTTGCCCTCCACATAATACAACATTCAGGCTAGCTCTGACTCTCAACCAAACTGATTTTCTGTTTCTGCTTCAAAGGAGGAGATTAGAAGCAGGGGAAGAACTGCTAAAGGCAGTTATATTTTCAGTCCTGAGAAGTGATCGCTGGTAGCTTGACAAGAAGGACAGGAAAACAAAATACCAAATGCACACGGAAGCCCAGGAATTGAGGTCCTACATGTATCAGTAGCCCTATGTTTACCTCTGTATCGCCACCCAAAATAATGATGTCTCTCAACCAAGAAGAATTTTAGCTATGTCGATTTATTGCATGCAACAACAGTCTAATGCAAAATAAACATTTAACAATTTTATTATATGATTTCTTGTAAGTTCTTAGTGGTCTCATTAAAACACAAAGATATGTTTTCTACAATACCACAAACTACAAATACTAATTAATGATTGTCCAGACCCCTCTAAGAAGTTTAATTGATATACAGGGAGAAGAGATGTTTAAGTAGAAGAGTAAAACCTTTTGACAAAAAACAACAACGAAAAAGGGTAAATGACATTCCAATTCTCTTGGCCATTAGTGATCATGACAATTAGTGACCATAACAATGACTTAAAAAGCCATGGTCATTTTATACCTTCAAATTACCTTTTTATTTTTTTTCCTGTATCTAATGTGGTTCTAGTATCCCAAGAGGTGCAATCCAGGTGGAAAGTGCAGGTGGATGAGGAAGAGCTTTATTAGGATTGTAAACTTGGCAGAAGGAAAGAGCTAATCTTGGCAAAGCTGTGCATCTCTTCTAAATATTTAAAATTGACTAAAGAGCTGAATCTATTACAGAGTCTTCAACCTGGTTTCTGTTGAGAATTCTACCAATAATCAGATATATAGAGAAAGAACCAAGAGAAATGTATATACTCTGCTTATGGGAAATCAAGAGAATATGTAGATCTCCCCCTATTTAAAAATTCGTGTGTGTGTATAGATATATATATATACATATATGTCTACATACACATATACACATATATATTCCCCACACACAACTAATACCATAGAAATGTTTACAGTCCTTAGCAATGTAATAGGTAAACAAAAAAAAAAACTAGATATATTTTTGAATAAAATAAAATAAAAATAGAATATTCCCTGGCTGGTATGGCTCAGGTGGTTGAGTGTAGTCCCTTGCACCAAAAAGTCGCCTCTTTGATTCCTGGTCAGGGCACATGCCCAGTTGCAGGCACGATCCCCAGTGAGGGGCATGCTGGATGACGTCAACCAATGTTTCTCCTCTATGTTTACCTCCCTCTCAATTTCTCTCTAAAATCAATAAAAATATATGTAAAAAAAACTTAAAAAAAAACAAAAATAAAATAAAAAGTAGTAGTTGATTTTTGAATAAGGTATTTATGAGAGATGTACATTTCAGAAAAATATTTAATGTGTTAAATATTTTAAAATGAGAAAACACTGTAAAGGTTAAAATACAAAATATAGCAAACAGTTCTTCCCTGACCAATCACTAGGCAAAAAAGAGAATTAGCTGAGTTTAAGAGAACACCTCAAGAAAACCTGAAGTGTGAAAGGAGATTAAATGCTGCATTAAAGCATTGAAAGGAAGAATTGAAGCTGTGGAACAGTCAGCGATGACAAGTGTAAACTAAAGATTCTTCCTTAGATCAAAAAGGAGTGAAGAGACTAAAAGAGGTAAAAAAAAAAAAAAAGGAAAATTATATATAAATATATGAACAAAAATATATATCCTAGGTACACAAAATTAGTGTTTACAGGAAAAAAAGAGATAAGAATAAATAAAATATTATTCAATATAAGAATATACTGTTGAACTAAGAAAATGCCAGACTCTATAGATCAAAGAGATCACTGAATACAGACAAAATAAATGAAAGGAGAACAATACGTAGAGTTCAAATATGTCACCTCCTCATCCTCATCACTTCTCCTGTTCCAGACACAATTGCCAGGGCTCACGTGTGTCCTGGATAAAATGTACCCAAACTCTGAAGGAAAGATATTTCCCTTGATAGTTGAAACGTTTCAGAACATAAGCTGAAGCCAGTCATGGGATTCTGCTTACAAAATTAGCATGACATAGCTGTTGAAACCTGAGGAAAAAAACCTGAAAGTTAATTCAAAGATCACTTAAAATATTAGGAACTTGAATTGTGCAAAATATTAAAACATAATATGTCACGATCCAGTGAGATTCATAGTAAGATTGTAATGACAGCTCAATATTAGGAATATGTTAGTGTATTTCACCCGTTAATAAATGAAAGACAAAAAAATCACAGGATCATCTCTAACGACATCAGAGCGCATTAGAAAATGTTAACATTTCTTAATTTAATGTAAGTTTAGTAAGTTATGGATAGTGGTATTTCTTAGCATGATAACTTCACAGACATTACTGATGTACACACAGAAACAAACACAAATATATGTAAGACATGCATGTGAATGTATGCAGACAGATAAACTTTACTGTTAATGGTGAGAAACTTGATGCCCTTCCCATTAACAAGGGAAGAAGTCATGAGTGTCTAGTCTACTAGGACAGACATCAGCAATCTTTAAATATACTAGTTAGTAAAGCAGAAACTACAATATGTGAAGTCTTTGAAAAGAAGAAAGCAAATCATCATCAACCAATAAATTTAGACCGAGTAACTTGAAAAATATGCCTAAATGTACTTTATGAAGTCTTAGCAATTAAAATATTCTTTCTTTCTTTCTTTTCTTTCTTTCTTTCTTTCTTTCTTTCTTTCTTTCTTTCTTTCTTTCTTTCTTTCTTTCTTTCTTTCTTTCCTTCCTTCCTTCCTTCCTTCCTTCCTTCCTTCCTTCCTTCCTTCCTTCCTTCTTCCTTCCTTTCTTTCTTTCTTTCTTTCTTTCTTTCTTTCTTTCTTTCTTTCTTTCTTTCTTTCTTTCTTTCTTTCTTCTTTCTTCTTTCTTTCTCCTTCCTTCCTTCCTTCCTTCCTTCCTTCCTTCCTTCCTTCCTTCCTTCCTTCCTTCCTTCCTTCCTTCCTTCCTTCTTATCTTTTTTTTTTTTTTGACTTTACAAAATTCTTTACTGTGCCATCAAATTCAGGATACGGGTGGTTTACATGCAGGCAAATTATAAGTACATAGCTAGAATCCAACCTCACCCAGTTTGATTCATAAACCACGCTGCTCAGAACAAACAGACTCCCCAGTCTCTTTTAAAGATAGGCAGTATCATGCTAAATCTCAACCCCTAAATCT